CTAATATTTAAAGATGTTAAGTAGGAATATAGTTTAAATAACATACAACTGATAGTATTAATAGAAACATTTTAGAAAAAGAAATACTTAAAGGACCAAATTATGAAGGCCTTCTAGGCAACTTAACAGAACAACTAGTATATATTCTTAATATAATAATAGAAGAAGCAAAAAAAAGGATAAAGAAATATGAATACTTCTGCAAGACATAAAAAAAGCATTTAACTCAGTTCTACTTGAGAGTTTAGAACTAGTACTGTGAAGGGTTAAAGTATTTAGAAGAACAATAAAATACATCTTGGATTTGTTTTATAAAATACAACTAAAAATTATTACAGCTTACAGCTTAACAAAAAAGATAATAGCAGAAGATGACATAGATCAAGTAGAAGTAATATCTTTATTAATATAGTGACTTTTTTACAATCTACTGTTAGAGAAAATACAAAAAGATAAAAATTTAGAATATATGAAACAAAAGAGTAACCTACAATGAACATTAGAAAACTGCATAATAAAATACAAAGATCTTGAAAGCTGCAGAACATTATAACAAAAATTAATAACAAAAAAAATAAGTGACCTATTAGCAAAACTAAATAGATAAGATAGTTTTGGACAGTTAACAAAACTAAGAATAACACAAGGGTGCCAGAAAGCAGGTTTAATGAAAAATATATAGAAAATAAAGGAGATGCCAGAAAACATAGAAGGTTAAAAAAATAACCTAGTTTGTTTGACATTGCTAAAAGCAAAAAAGCTTAATATAAATGTAAGAATAGAAAGCAATTTATAGACAATATTTGGTTATAAAATTAAAATAAGAGAATTCATAGATATGCAGTTATAGAAAAGAAGTAATACTAGAATAAATAAAGTGGACTTAATATATTTAAGCCAGCTGATAGATACAAAAAAAGTGAAATTAATTACATGGCAGCAGCTAAAAAGTTACCAAGATCTATCAAGTAAAAGAAAAAAACCAGAATGATTCAAAGCAATAGAACTAGAAATACTCATTAGACCAAAAAATATAGAAGTTAAAAGACAATTTAGAACAATTAGACAAAATACTTAAGCAATGCAGATGAGATAGGAATATATCTTAAAAAATAAAAGAAGAAAAGAATGGATAGCACATGATGTACAAAACAATTGACAATTAGAAAAGATAGTTAAGAAGAAAAAGAAAAAAATATTAGTAAAATATTGACAAATGTAGAGTAAAGAAAATAAATTAGCTATCAAAATTAACAGATATAAAGGTTGTATAAGAGAAGAAGAATATTGAAAAAATAGCTGCCAATAGTAGATAAGAGTAAATAATAGAATCAATGTGATTCTAGATATATTGATAAAAAAAGGCAGTAACAAGATCAAAATAGCAATAGATCAAATAATAAAAATGATAAAGACAAACAAATTAGAGATAGAAAAACAAAAACTTGAAAGACTAAGAATAATAGAAGAGCCAAAAGTAGAGATAATCAGATGACAAAAGTTAAAAGACAGTATTAATTAAGAAATAGTAGAAGTCTTAAGAAGAAATATAATGAGAAACAAAAACAATTATATAATATACACAGATGAAGCAGCAAACCTGAAGACTAAAGAAGACACAAGAAACAGAAATAGTATGAGCATAAAATAGGTGCAAATAGATGAAACACAAGAATGATCAGAAGAATAGATAGCATTAGGTCTAAAAGAATGGCAAACATCGACAATGGCTAAGTTAGTGGCAATATGGGCTGCAATTTTAATAATACCAAGAGAAAAGCAAGTAAAAATATATACAGATAGCAATATAGCAATAAGAAACATTAGTAAAGATTTAGAACAAGTATGCAGAAATAAGATCCTTAAAAAGAAGAATGCAATATGGATAATAAAAATTAGAAAGCTTATTATAACAAAAAATATTCAGATAGAGTTTGTTAAAATTAAGAGCCATAGTAAAGTTAAATAAAATGATAAAGCTGATAATCTAGCAAAAAAAGATGCAATAAGTAAAAAGATAATATAGATTAAAAAAGTCAATTGTGAAGAGATAGAGTACTGCTTAGAATAAAAAAACAAATATACTAATATACTAGCAAGACTGCTATGCAAATTGATAATGAATACAAGATTAAGAGTAAAATGAAAACAATTAGATAACTAGAATTAGAAACAAAAATTATAATTTATGATTAAACATATTTTTAGAATAGACTGAAGATATCTAAAGGAGTGCACTGCATAATAAGAAGAGGTAGTGCCAAAAAAAATGTATTTATAAAAGTGCATAATGAATAAACTTCCAACCTTAAAAGAACTTAACAGAAAAAAACCAGATGTATATACAACAACAGAATGCCAAGTGTAGCAAGATAAAACAAAAAAAACATAGACACATTTGGTAGCATGTAAGAGACAAAAGAATCTGTAGAAAAGAATTCAAAAAATGACCATTGCAATAGTTTAAAAGAGGTTAAAAGAAAAAAAAAAAGTTTAAGTTCCTTTATATGTATTATATACAGTACTTTTCAAAAAAATAGAAGCAGTAAAAATTAAAATAAAAGAGATACTAATTAAAGATCTCATTCCAAAAGAAACACAGGACAGATTGAGATAGCTCCTAAGTACAAAATCAAGATAGCAGTTTATGAATATAATAGCAAGAATGACCTGAAATACATTCTATGAACAAGTATAGAAAATCTAATATGAGAAGATTAATGAATGAAAAATAAATAAAGAAATAATGGGTAGGATAAAAAAAAGAAAAGAAAAAGAAAAAAAAACACCAAGTGAAAAAGGAAAACCAAATTAGCAAGCTATAGAAGAAAGAAAAGAGAAAGTAAAAGAAAAAGAAAAGAGAAAGTAAAAGAAAAAAAAAAGAGAAAGTAAAAGAAAAAGAAAAACAAATCAGAAAAGAAGCACAGAAAACAATTTTAAAGCTTGTCATAAAAGAGAAAAAACCCTTTCATTATGGACTTTAAGTAGTTAGATAAGCAGCTTACTTCTGCTTGAAGTAATGTAGCAGGTTGCACTTAAGTATCATTAAGGTGGCTAGGTAATGTTGGGCTTAGTTGTTAAGAATATTTATGTAATTGCAAATGTAATTTTAAAATCTTAATAAAACACTAGTATAACTGCTTAAGAGAAAAAAAAAAGAATCTTTAATTATATATTAAAAACTTGAAAACAAAACTATTAAATTATTTAAATTAGTAATTTAAAAAGTTGAGTTCAAAGTAAAATAAAAATATTAGAAAAATAAGTATCAAAATCTTAATAAACTTTACAATAGTAGAAATAATACAATAGTAATAGTTTAACAAAATATCTGTAACTGCAAATGTTAATCTAACTATAGCATATTATATAAAGCTAGGTTAGCTATATGTGAGATACAGAAAACTTTAATGAGTTTTCTATCACAGATAAATAGTTCTAAAAGTACTAATAAGAATCAATTAACTAAGCTGTAATTTGAAAATATTCTATAATGCAAACTGAATTATATATACAGAGAATTTAAATAAACAAGACCAATAGTTAACTTGCAAGTATAGCATTTAGTATAGAATCTGTATAGTAAAATATAAGCAAACTACTTAAATTAGACATCAAAAATATATGTATAACTAATTATAATCTTCTATATAAAGGATTCTTTAGAGGTCTCCATGTTTATAATAACTTAAATAAAAATTGCTACTTAAAAACAGAAACTTTAACAAAAAAAAAATAATAATCTAAATTTATTCCTAATACTACAAATAAAATATTATAAAAATACTAATTGATTTGGTACTTTTTCTATTGTTTTATTCATTTTGGATTTTAGATTAATTAATAAATATAATTCATTAAAGAAAAACTTTAGCCATATATTTTCTAATTGTATAATTATATAAAATTCTTTAAAACTCAAATTAATGACAGTATTTTATACTTTTTTTTTATAAAAAATATCTGTAATTATACTATTGCTTATAAAAAAAAACTAAAAGAATACAAATATTAGTATTAGATAATCTGGCTCAACATGTAAACATCAATTCAACACAAGTTATTGAAATTCAAAAGATGCATTTGTAACAATTGTGTTAAAGCAATCTAAGCATATTGTATCAAATTCCTTAATATTAGAAGAAGGCATCCTATTGTTTGCTTCTTTAGAAAAACCAGTGCAGTTATGAACTTCCAAGCTAATGTTTTTATTCTGCAAATTTCTATAATGCATGGTTAAATGACTTTCTTTTTTTTACCCATTATGAAAAGTCACTACTAAGCTAACATTACTTAAATATAAGATTATAATATATTAATTTTAAAGGTAGTTTTCTGGCACCCTATAACGAAGCGAATTGTGCAAAAAAAGTTTTTTTACGTTAGTAAAACGTTACATTTCTAAAAAGTACTTACATTAGTCAATCAAACGAATGAACGATCTACAGCAAAGACAGTGTCCGATCCAAAGTAAATTCCTCTCTATCACAAATGAATGTCAAAAAGGAAAAAAAACCTGTAAATCATTTCACTTGATGAGTGAAATGATTTGCAGGTTTTTCCTTTTCATCACTCAAATTAAATTATTTTATGTTGGATTCAATTGTGATGATTATAATTCCTCACCAGTTTTAATATACGTATAACATTGATGGGTATCTATTATCATACAATGCAATCACGTTACATAACCCGAACACCAGCGCTAAGAATTACTTGGGTACTATCGAATATGTCGAACACACAATGCATTACATATTAGCAAAGCCTTATACAAAGGAAAATTTTTAGCAAAATTTTGTAAATTCAAATTCACAATACAATGTGTTAAATTTTATGTTTCTGCTTAATAGTAACAGATTTTTTAGAGGTTACATATTCAACCATCGTTTTGACCTGAGTTGTAAATTTTTGACCCGGTTGAATCATTTTGACACGAATGACCCGGTTCTAAACTCTAGATGCAGTAGTACTACATATTACAAAATGAAAACATTAAACTACTCTTTTTGTGATTTTTTCGGAGTTGGTGTCGTCTCCGGAAGATTGTCGATATTAAATAAGTCTTCTGGCCTTGTTTGTAATACAACTCTTTTTACTTTCTTTACAACACCGAGAACAACATTTGTTAAATCATTCTGTAATAATTAGAAATAATTAAAATTCGAAAGAAATTTTTCAATTAGTGAATTGATAATATAATACGTACCTTTAAATATAATACATCTTTTAAAGCCACAAGGCTTTCTGGAATAGTACCTCATGTCGTTCCAATTCAATATTGACATATCTTGAACACGAAGTAATATTCAATATCAGAATCATAATACATGGCATACATCTTTCGTTAAGACCTTTGTTAAATATAAAAAATGGATATCAGCCAATTTTAGATTAGAGAGTAAGATATTTGAAAAATTCTCCATTGCCTCATATAGTGCCTCCATGAGTTATTCTGTGTAAAACAATATTCTTTACTCCTTTAATAGATTCCCTTTGTAAATTTCAAATTCTTTAGGAGACGATCTAGTTGATCCTTAATTTCACGAAAAAGCTTTTGTTTATAAGAAATTGGTTTTGAGTTTTGTGGGTCTTCATCGGTGTACGTTTCCGAGCCAAAAATGTTAGCAAAATTAATAATGATTATAAAAGAAAAAGAAATTATAGTGGAACATGCATTATCAATTAATTCATCAATATATTTTGTAGCGTCATTAGTGACAGGATCCCACGTATAATCACGTTTGATTTCCAATCTATCTATTAAAAGTTTGTTTGTTGTATCGATGATGTTTGAGCAAATTGGTTCACTATAATAAAAAATAGTGAAATTAGTCAGTTAATAATATGGGCTAGGTGCTAGAAAAAGGGCTGAAAGTAACAAAAAAAAGTTCTTCGGAAAATCAATTTTTATATTATAATAAACCATAAGAAAATGCAAACTTTAAAGAGCTATACTGCAAAATTTTATTAATACAACTTCTTTCGTATCTTTCGTATCTTAAGTAAAAAATGACCCTAATCTGATTATAAATTGATTTATATGAATAACCCTTGAAAAAATTGTCATTTTCAGCCTTTTCCCAGCACCTAGCCCATATAATATAGGAATTTTAATAGACACGTTTTTACTTACTATGTGGGTGATCTATCGTGCTCGGTACTATTAACTTTGTTTAAACCGCATGGGCCATCATCCTCTACATCCCCGCCGAGAGATTCAGCCTGCTCACGCAACAAATATTAGAAAATTTTTAAGACATTTGCTCCTAATCATAGGGCTATTACCATACACATCTTCTTTGAAACAGATAAGTCGGACGATTCTTTATTCTGTGGATATAAGAAGTAATTATTAAAAACGATTATATAAAACTAAAGGCAGTATTTTATATTGGAGAGCTTTACAATTATATCCTAACCTTTTTTGCTAATGATAGGTTTTTTTTTCGTTTTTGTCTAGTAGACGCAACAGGCTGGAGATTATCAACTGACATAAATTTTTCAAACCGGTTTGTGATTGTTCTCTGAAGTAAAGATCTTTCTTTTGTCGCATCCAGGAAATATTGAGTCTAAAATAACCTTCAGTATGTCAGCGTAAATATTGGTAATAATGAGTCAAATCAATATACAACCCTGTTCAAGATCAATCTGATTTTCCAGTTTATTCTTCTCTTCTTCGAGCAATATCCTCTTTGCACGAACGTTTTTCATCTCATATTGGAGATCCCAAAATTGATTTATTTCCTTTGATCTTTTAGCATTCTTATACAAAAAAAAAAAATCAGTACTTTGTACTTTGTTAACTTATTCAACAAAATGGTGGGCCTGAAACAACGACAAGTACGCAACCTTTCCCCTACGAGTACGCAACCCGCAAAGTAGTCGTTGAAGTCTTGCATTATACTCTAACACACGGTTCATAGTATGCTAACCAACAAGTACGCAACCTTTCCCTCGACCAGCAAGGTAGTTGGTGACGGCATCTATAGTGTGCTCACCAACAAGTACGCAACCTTTCCCTCTACCAGTACGCAACCAGCAAGGTAGTTGGTGACGGCACAAAGCAAGCGTTGCACTACACACTAACACACATTTATGATATGCTTCCCAACAAGTACGCAACCTTTCCCTCTACCAGTACGCAACCAGCAAGGTAGTTGGTGACGGTGCAGAACAGCTCAGGTCAACAAGTCGATTGAATAAATTTACCTTAAAATCTTGCTTCCATGTTACTATCTTCTGCCAAATTTCAGACGTTTTGGAATATTGTTTACGAATAGTATTTAGTTCATATTTGTAATGAAGATGCTCCGTTTCTTCGTCTTCTAAATTGCCCTCCTTTGAACGGAAATCTAAGAACTTTTTAAGTGAAGGGTTTTCCGTGTTTTCCCAAAAAGCTATATTTTTTTACAAACATGTCACAGAAATCATTGCTAAATTTTGTCTTACAATAGTATTTAAGAGCGTTGAAACATTCGAATAACAAGCGCATTTTTATAAATGAGAATAATCTCTATTTTAAAAACAAAGTACAAATTTGTTGTTTATTATATCAAATTACAATTTTTATATAAAAACAGAGCACAGCGATTGACCAATTAGATTACAAGATCAGGTGTAACGTGAAATCAAAACAAAAATACAACCCCTCACTAGCAGTCATAACAGGTCATAAGGTCATAACCGACAATTGGTCAATAAGTCATAACAGGTCATATTCCAACACTACTCTCTAGTGCTCTAACAAATGTTTTCCTTGAACAATTTTACTATGTATCTTGTTAACAGTAAACCCTAATGTAAACGCTAACTCTAATATTAACAAACTTTTAAGAATTTTATTACCGAAAATTTTTGGCACAAGATAGAAATTTGGTTTGATTGGCTAATCATCAAAAGCTTTGATTGGCCAGAATTAAAAAGATTAACATTCGAAGATTTATTTTGTCACGTGAAGTTCAAAACATTTATTCGAAAGAAAATTATTGTTTTTTATTAGTTATTACTCTTTAAAAGTTAAATACATAATATTGTTATTGTACTACATGATAGTATTGTTGGAATCGCTTCTAGTAAAAGTTGGAGAAACACTTGATCTCACTTGATCTCGAACTTTAAATAAAAAAACAAAAGCTATCGTACAAAATTTCAAGGGGTATTGATTATAAAAATTTCGATATTGCTATTTTAGATTAAAATTTTCTATTATAAAATAATATAAAAAAACCATGTAACATATTTTGTCCAGACGTACATTTATAACTCCCCGGGTGTATGTTAACATTTTGGCTCGAATTAAGTTAATTTAGGCCCAAATTAAGCTTAATTCTGGTCAAATTTTAACCTACACCCCGGGCGTTATTTCGGAATTATACAGTACACTTATTTCTGAAAAGCATCAGCGTAACCAATAATCGAGGGTGCTGTCACATGATTTTCCGACCTACAACCTTCAAATTATTAATCCAGATATGCTGAATAAGACAAACTTTTCTACATTAATTACTAAATCAACTATTTGTACTGTATTAACTTAGTTATGATATTGATATTAGATGTGATTTTCAAATATTATAGAAAAAAGTTCTAAAACAAGAAAGATTAAACAACAGCCAACACCAATTAATCATATACTAAACTTTAGCAAAACAAGATCAGTAAAAAGTACTTAATGAACTTAATTAAATCTTTATATTTAAAATAATATTAACTTTAATGTTTGCAAAACAAGATGATTAGTTAAAATATAAAAGTTGTAAAAATGTACGTAATGAAAATTGCTCATAACATGAAAATATTAATATTTAGAAAAAATCTATACATGATCTAAATTAAACAAAGAACCAATTTAGTTACAGCTAAAGCTAAAAATTAGAGATCTTATTTGAAAATTTTAGCAATTTTAAAATATATAAATATTTTTTATTATAAAAACTATCTCTAAATCCTAACCTAAATATTATATTAAAAAAATGCATTCAAAATTCATATTAAAATATTTAAATTGAACATAGTTTTTAAATATTATATTTATTTATTATTTGTTTTTATATAAAAATATTAAAATATTTAGCTTTATTATTAATTTTTATATAAATATGAATAAGAAAAAAAAACTAATTTATATTACATATATCAGTGATTAAAAAATCATATGACTGTGTAAAGGCCTGCATCAGGTCCTGCAGTCTGGCTTAGCCTGCAAATTTTTGTGAGTTAGGCTAGGCCTGAAGCAAAGTATTATAATTATAGGTTGGGTTAGGCTGAAAAATTTGCAAAATATTATAATTGCAGGCCAGTGCAGACTTAAAATTTTGTAAAATTATATAATAAATTTTTGCAGGTTGGGCTGAGCCAGACTGGGCTAAAGAAAAAATTTAATATATATAGGCTAAGCTGAGCCAACAAAAAAATAGTAACTCTAAATGCAGGCTGAGCTAGGTCAGAAAAAAAATTTTAATCCTAAATGCAGACTAAGCTGAGTCTTAAAAATAGGCAATTTACAGGCTCTTATGACTGCATCTTCAATTATAACTACCTTCAATATTATCATAAAAAAATTTACTTTATATAATTATTGGTCAATAAAAGATTATAATTTGATGTAATATAATATGATCAGGAAAATTCAAACCAAATGTCTTTTTAGTCAAAAATTATTTATTTCTTAAAAATTTAAATAAGAACTGTCTTTTGTATATTAACAAAAAGTTTTTCTTGAATGATTTTACTATTAAAACTTTTCTAATTCTAACTTTAGTATTGACTTTAACTTTAATCTAAATGAACTTTAAAGAATTTTTTGAATTTCATATAAATTACATAGGTATGAATTTTTTATTATTGCAGTATTAGCAAAATTGGTATGTTTTTGTTTTGCAAGTGATATAAATCCTAAAAAAGGAATTTTTTTATATAGATCATAAGATCAGATGCAACCTTTGTGCTGATAATACTTCTTATATATACTAACTTTAACTCTAACCAGAGACTTGTAAAAATTGTTTTATATAATTGCAAAAAATGTTTTGGGTTATAGCAAAAAATATTTTTTATTATAATATAAAATTTAGTTACAATTTTGATTAAAATATATTATATTTAATATTTATAAAGAATCTAAACTAAAATTTTGTCTATTTTCTGCTAAAATATTATTATAATTAAAAAAAATTCATTCAATACTACAAGAAAAAAATAACCAAATATATTTTTAAGCAATTTTACTTAATTTTAGTAATTGCTCAGATATTTTTTTTCAAAATTCAACTAAATTATCATATTCAATAGTTGCTAAGTTTAAATTACAAAAATTGATTATTCATATATTAAAAAAAAAGAATTATCTAATTCATAAATTATATGATGATAAGTATAAATATCATGATTAGTAGTAGTAAAATGAATAAAATTTGAATTAAAAATTTGAATAATTTTAAATAAAGATTATACTAGATGATTAGAAAAATAATTGTCATATTTTTTATAAGCCATATTAAATGTATTTTAAAAAATTAAAATAAAAGAATCTGATGAATAATTATTTGAAACAATAAAATTCTCAATATCAAAAAAAAAAGCAAAAAATGTTTGATTACTTTAAATATATAAACCAAGTTGATCAAGGTGAGATTCAATAAATAGAAATATAGATGTATTTTGAGTTTGAAAAAAATTTAACTCATATATAAAAACTTTATATATTGCTTAATAAAACTAAGATAAACTTCTATTAAAAAATTAGATTGTGAATTATTAAAAGTTATAATTATTTTTTCAATTGCTGAAGATGAATTTTTATTTTTTTTTTCATAATAAATTTCCTATAAATAATTAAAATTCTCCATAATATAAAGTGTCATACAAAACTATGAACATTATCTTGTTTTATTATAAAGAGGAATCTTTTGTGAATCTTTAATACTATAATAATATAAATATAAAAAATATCTGTTTCTTTAACTTTTAGATCTAGAAACAGATTGCTGAATTTCAGTAAATAAACTTTTAACCAAATCAAATTATATATTTGGAATCCATGCATTTCTAAAAATAATTTTATTAAAATTTAAAATATATTTAATACATTAATACAAAGATTAAAATAATAAATATACCCTATAAGGTTTAAAATATATACTATTGTGAGGATGAATTTAGATAGGATTAGATAGAATTAATAAACGAATAAGAAAGTAATTGCAATGGCAAAGCCTAAACTACTTACTCGACCCTAGTAAAAGTACAAGTATTGCCTTGTAAGACTCCAGTAACCAACATTAAATAGAACCCATCTGCTTTAAGAATAAGCTAAACCTGCTATTGATTGTTCGTTGCAAGTCATATGACTATAAAGCTGTTACCATAATAGAAAAGTTCTGACCCTGAATTGACATAGTGTGATCCTAGGTTGAGACATACAAGAGAAGGCACAAAAAAAAGGAATTAGTCAAGATAAGTAGGAAAAACTCAAAAAAAGAAGAGACTAGTACTTATCTACAGACAATAAAGCACTCATCCAATCATCACATGAAGCTGATTTTCAATTTAGTAACAGATTTGCTGATTTAGGAACTCTATACCCTGCATGACCATCATGGCTATAGTGATACTAAAGATTATGACTGATTATGTGAAAAATGCATGAAATGCAATAAATGCAATAAGTTCAATAAATGTAATAAGTGTAATAAGTAACATTTAAAACCAGAAAAGGTATTACAGATTCAAAGAGGTAGATAAGGAGAAAATTACAAATATTAAATAAATACATGTAAATGAGTTTAATTAGTTTTAAGAGATAAGTCACATTTGTAAGTAACAAATTTAGTATTATAAATAAAGGCCGAAATGGCCTTTTGGAGCAGTACGCTTCATTTGCTTTATTAAACAATAACTCCTAATACACTACATTGTACATAATAAACACTAACACTAATACTGTTACCAACCTTGTAAAGTTTTGTAAATGTTGCTGTTCAACCCTTGACCATGTAACTTATCCACTTGCATTCGTTGATCCAAAGTAACCGAAAGCCTTAACTGCTTACAAGCCAAATCTATCATCCTCTTTTGAAAAGGTTACTTATTGTACATTATGCGAGGTTTTGAATTGTGAAGCAACAGAGTCGCAAACTTCTGAACTGAACACTATATATGGTATATAAATAATTTGTGACATTATAAGCTTCAAAATATTCTTAAACTTTTTTTTATATACAAGACTAAATCAGAAACAAAAAGTTAAGATACATTAAATGAAATAAACTATTTAATTAAAGTTTTAAGAATAATTTGTCTGACTGTTATATTATTAACTTCATTAAAATAATCTATTATAATTAATTTGATTATATTTTAGTAATTAAATAAAATATTAACTACACTTCTAACACAATCGTTTGTAATTTTATTAACAATAATCATGACAAATTTATCAAAAAAATTCAAATTTTATTTCTGTAATATGTTTTTCAAATACTGATTTCAAATAATTCCATCTTAAAGTATCAGCTGAAGGAATAGAACTACCATTATAAAGATTGTCTTTAAGCCAAGAATGTAGTTTGTCAATCTTTTTTAAAGGAATATTGGCATTTACAAATGCCTCAACCAAATCCAAAATCATATTCTTTTTTTTTTGTGCAGAACTTATTGATGTATTCATTGTTAATTGCCTTGATTTTATTTTATGTTGTTCTTTCATAGCTTTGTTTGTAATATGCTTTTTACTATTAATATGAGTCATGATAGTTGATCTTACTTCATAGTTGACAGCCAAGTCACAAAACCAACACATCAAGACACCATTATCAGCAACAAAATGTTCATGAAACTCATTAGCACGGGTAATAGCAGAAACTTGGCGTGGCATTTAAATAAATGAAAAAAAAATATAACTAAAAAAATATTAGTTATAGGCATTGAGAATTATAAACAATTTTTAAAAATTAAATCTTTTTTAATACATACCCACTAGTGTTTGCTAATTCGTTACAGAAGATTATGATTATCTCTTGCCGATTGTTGAAAAAAAAATTCTGATGAATCATATTTATACTACATTTTAACTGGCTAATTGTTGTCACGTGCATCAGTGAAGGTAAAAATTGTTTTATAATGCGATATCCAATAAAAATTGCGATTAATTGTGATCTAATCTTTTTGAAATTTTTACGGGTCCCTGCCCTAACCCTAACACTGGTCAAAATTTCACGTGCTTTTAGTGAAATAATATCGGAAAGTCTACGGACACTTCTTAGGGACAGTTCAAATCACGTGAATAGTTAGTTAGGGACAGTTAGGGTTAGTGGTTTTAGTAATATCACGTGAATCGCACTGTCCCTAACTGTCCGTAAGAACTGTCCGTAGACTCTCCGAATAATATTACTATTGGCACGTGATTTGTATCATTTACAGAAATAAGTATTTCCATTTAGAACTCGATCCCGCAAATGCTTGTCAATAATCTGATGCTTTTTTGGATCATTTGTATATTGGCACACAATTTGGCATACACATTTATCTTCCCAACTTCACTGCCGTTTTCTCAACACCAAGATAAAAATGAACATCAAAAGTCATAATTTTATATATTTACTGCGCCACATATCACGTAACGTCGTGACCTCAGGTCGTTATAATGATTATCTTCCTGATTAAAAAATTGATGTGAAATTTAGGAGTCTCAATTTAAACATATAAGCCCTACCAAAAAATCCACCTATACTCTTTTCCTAATGATTATAACCCCAAACCTTAACTAACTATAAACAAAAAAGGCTCCAAAGAATTTTAAAAATCAGACATAAAAAATAAGTTAAATTTCATTATGATTTGTCACAATAAATACAATATTGATTTTTCTAAACATGTGTTTAAATCCTTTCCAGTTCCTTCACGATAAGGGTATTTATTCTGTTTTAATAAAGTTTTATGACTGTTCTCACACTCATAATTGAAAATACATAGTGCAAGAAAAGAAAGTTCGTAACCTTGTGGTAGCAGTTAAATTATTTTCATATATGTTGATTTTTTTTAAATATTAACAGGTATTTTTACATTAGCTCCCGAAAACCTCCCTACGGTTCTTCAAAAACCAGATATTGTCACTCTTGTTCTGAAATGCCAGCACTTTTATTTGATTGGAATGATGCAGGTTTTAATGACACTGTCGTTCCAAATTGCCGTAATGGTATTGCAACACAGACCAAAGCGTCTATAATTGCAAATCTCCTTGCAAACGGTGCAACTGATTATGGGAATCGGAACATATTATTCATTTTTCCAGATGGTCACGCAATTGGGGGTTGGGCCACTAATGTGGCAACAAACTTACCTTGGTATGAGATAATTATACATTTTAAATTCTTTAGCGTCAGCTTAATCTATTATCCTTTCTTGAAGGGCGGGCGAAACACCAAAATGGTATTCCCGATGTCTGCAACCACCTCTTAAGAATAAATAAGATTTCGGCGCACACAGGCAATACAAATATCGAGGATTTTTCACATGTCTTATATTGAAGAAAAAAGACAAAAGTATTTGTTTTTTTGAAATGATCGTTACTTTTTCAAAATAATTACAGTTAATTTACCCTTTCAAACTGATACCATTTGAATATTCAGTCTAGAAATCTTTATCTCCTTAAGCTGTTCTAAAAATCAAGTAAATTTCTGCAATCAATCCACCCTTGTAAGGTTTTACGCTTCGTGAACACTTTGTGTCCAATATCATAAAATAGCGTGTATATATTATATGATTCGGATAGCGTTTTATTATGTTTCGTGTAAATGCACTTACTCATATCATGGTTGCTTTCCTTTAAGGCCAACGGAATCCAGTTTACGGTTTGCATATTTTACATAACATATTGTATATATACATTTAAAGTTTTAAGTTTGACGAACCGTCGATGTTACACGACTGATCCTTCATGACGTTTAGCGGTATAGTAAAATATGTTTCACACCGGGTGAAGTAACACCGATGGGGGACCCTCATGCCAAGAAAATCCCAGGATCTCGTGTAACAAAACAAACGCGAAAAACATAAATTGTAAAAAAAAAATGCAAAATAACCAAAAAAATTACTATGATAACTAACTTCCGACCTCTGAGTAAAAGTTTTCAGAATGAAATTTTACTTATAGGACGCAATTGTTAATGTTAGATATATAGGGAATTTTTGAAATACTACCACCCATATCTTTTTGGCCGACAGCTCGGATATAAGGATACCCTTCATACACTGGTGTAAATTAATAAATTTTCAAAAAAAAATAATTTTTTTTTACTATTTTAACAAACTTTTTAAAATTTCTACGTACAGTACGTACTGATTTTATTACGTATTTATAACGATAAACTAAATATAATTTTTTACTCACGACCTATCATGGGACGTCTTAGAGGCGTTCTAATTAACCAATTAAAAATTAGGTGAGAAATATAAATGTATCACATTTGTGTAATATATTCTTTTTAAAATTAAGAGTCTTAAAAATTAAATTTGCACACGAATCAATGTTACACGAATAGACCGTTTTAGTTACGTTTTAGTATCCTTAATAAATAAATTCGGTAGTACCAATGCAAGTTTTTTGGTATATTAAAGCTTCTCGTTGAATTGTCAGAACATTATATAATTGCATCGCTACCTTAGTTAGTTACTAATAATGAAAATTATATTAGGTTTTAAAATTGATCGAACCAGTTTAAGAATAATTTACCAGAATTAGCTTAATTATATGAACGGGTAACATCCCAATTGCTACGTCTAAATTTAACAGTCGTTTACGTATTAAAAAGAGGTGCTGTCCTACAGTGGGCTAAAACATGTTACAAATGTGTCGATATCGATACGTATTGGGTAAATTATATTCAATTATGGTATACGTATAAAATATTTAATCGGCGTTTACTCCCGTGAATGAAACGAAGGACAATAGAATATTATCGATTAACTACATATGCATATATATATATATATATATATATATATTCTGTGTACATATATTCTGAAACTTCTCATTTTTTTACGTTTATTTAATGAATTTTCTTTTAAAGTAATAATAACGGATGGGATCTGGAAAGAGAGTTTCACTTAGACGTCAGGGTTCGGAGGTGGATTGTGATGACGATGGCCATTATTATAGCGATAGAAATGTACCACACTTATTTAGATGGAGAGGCTCTGTTATCCCGAATGTTATATTTCAGACCTTAATTGTTACTGCTTTCGCAGCCGCCGTGACGGTGATATATATAAAAACGACTCTTAAGCCTGGCATCCCACAAACATTCATCCCAGTGCTTGGTTTCGTAGTGGGTCTCTTACTTACCTACAGAACAAATACTGCTTATGATAGGTAATTAATTAGTTAATAACTGTGATATTTATTGTTCATATAACTTTTACGTGATATGTTTTTGTTTTAATATACAGATATTGGGAAGGTCGTAGAGCGTGGTCATCAATGGTAACTGCAATCCGAAATATAACACGATACATTTGGGTGGGTGTAAGAAGAAAGAAGTCGGATGAAGAAAAAATTGAAGAAAAAGAAAATCTGAAAATAAAATATTTAAAAATGAAACAAAATAAAACGAGAAGAGAAAAATTCGACACGAAAACAGGAGAAGAAATCACAAAAGAAGAAGAAAAAATCTTGATAGAAAAAGCCTTGGAAGCTGAAGAAAAAGCAATCAAAAAAAAAAAAGAAATCAGCAAAGAAGAAGAAGAAAAAATCAGATTAGAAAAAATCTTGAGAGAAGTAGAAGAAGAAGAAATTGAGATAGAAAAGAAAACAGCCATAAGGCTTCTCATAGGATTCGCATTTGCTGTAAAGCATTATCTTCGTGAAGAGGAGGGAAACGCATGCAAAGATATTAAACCTTTTATTTCGGATATAAAGTCAAACTTACCGGGATTTGACGATTTAAGTGAACAAGATGCTGCTGAAAAAAACGCAGTTCAGGACAGGGATAAGAGTAAAAAACAGAACAGCAATGATCGGATGTGTTGGTTGTTCAGAAGGTTAAATCCATTTAGTAATGGAAAAAAGCCACATCAACGTGAAGAAAAAGAGGGGGGAATACGTATTAATCACAATCTTCCTTTAGAGATTTCTTTATATCTTGCTGATTATATTACAACACAAACTCGGAAAGACAGGATTACTGTCCCATTAGCCAATAATTTGTTAATGAGTGTTAATACGTTGATAGATTGTTTATCATCATTTGAAAGAATTTTGAGATCACCGATTCCTTTGGCATATTCCATTCATTTAACCCAAACAGTATGGATTTATTGTCTCTCTCTACCTTTCCAATTGGTTGCTTTCGTTGGCTGGTCGACTATTGTTATTGTATTCTTTGCTACTTTTATTTTACTTGGTATCGAAAGAATTGCTGCAGAAATCGAAAATCCTTTTGGTTATGACCCAAATGACTTAAAATTGGGCGATTTTTGCAGGTAAATGGCTATTACATAATTGTCAATTAAATTAACTGTACTTTAGTATCAATATGTCTTATTCAATTTCATTCATAGAATAATCGAACGAGAACTAAAACTCATCATAAACCATGATCCACCAAACGTTGATCATTGGGTGTTCAACAGAGAAAATATTGATGCACTCCAGAGAAAAGACTCGTATATTGATTCTTTGTATCCTGATAAAAAAGAAGTAAAGTTTGATGAAAGTGCTATGGATTCTTTGTATACAAATCATAAAAAAGATGTAAAATCCGAGAATGAAATTGCTATTGAAGTTGATGATAAAGTTGATAAAGTTGATAAAGTTTCTAGATAAGAACTTTGCATATTTTATATAGGATTATATTTGACTCACCAGAGATGAGTTTATATTTGACTCATCGGAGATGAGTTGATAAACCATTTGTATTTGACTCACCGGAGATGAGTTGATAATACAGTAATATATTTATTAAAATTTTTTTAATTCATAATACAATAAATTTATTTTGTTATTCTAAAAATTTACCTGATAATACTATTTTGTTTTTTGTCAGTGTATAATATTGTCACTTTGCTGAAGGTTTAAAAGATTTGTTGTATTCCATTCAGGATGTGATTGTTCTTCGGGATGAAGCACCCTATTATGGTGCCTTACCTCATTATTAACACTTTTCTTTTCGTTCCGTGCAGGTAGATGATGCGGGGTATCGAGTTCTTGACTAAATGTGTTTTCTGGCATTTGTTCGGGGTATTTCGCAGTTAATGTATCTAGCATATTAGTAATAACTGGGTTTATTGTTTAAGCTTCTCAAAATCGTGCCTTAATTTCGCTACATCAGCTTTAAACTCAACATTCCCTTCCTTGCATGTTCTAACTTTGCAACTCTAACTCTGTCTATAAGTTCAGGGGTCACAGTCTAATATCACTTTAATTCTTTGATTCTAGCTATAAGTCTTGCATTTTCTTGTTTTTTTTGGGGGGGGCTCACCTCTTTGAGCCTGCATTTTCAATCATATATATTATTTAAAACATAAATATAACTTTGAAAATAGTTTCCCAAAATAATGGTCAGTTACGTAAAAACATTCTCGATAATATGTAACATTTAACATCAATAAATCTCGAATCACGCATTTATGAAATAAGGCTTACGAAAATAAACATCAACTAGGAGTTAGCTTTATTGAGCAAACAATGAACTAAATTACAAGAATTTATGAATTATTAAATTCCTTTAATATCATGGATCTTGACATATCTGATGACTGATATGTAGTGTTGTGAAAAGTAATTCTGATTTTCGAAAATTTCACTTTACAGAAGCGAGCTTATCAGATCCGTTTCAGTAAATGAAATTTCGGTACATATACTGAATAGATTTCGTATCTATAGAATCACCAGTACTATACAATATCTCGTGTACCATTGCTGTTTTAAAAGTTAATAATTCATGAATTAGGAAGTCTTTATTTGATTGCTAGTTATTATGAAAATTATTTAAACTTGAATGTTAATGTGTATCATCGTTAATAAGATTACCAAGACATAGAGGTGATAAAACATCTGTGGCAAGTTTGGTAATGGATTATGATATGCTCTGAAAATAATGTCAATAGTTCACTGGTAGTTTCTAAGTCACATGTTGGTTAATTGACCAACCCTGCTCTGTGGTGTAAAATGCACTTTAATTGTGTAAATAATTCAAAAACAATTCATTTTCTTCGAAAGTCGCTATTATTATTGAATGGAAAGGCAAGGCAGTACGCATACATACAAAATTTAGCACTTATCATTTCGCCTAAACTTTATTGGCGTGGTGGCATTGTTCTGTGAACATTTACAATTAGTCGGTATTTTAATTGATTAATTTGACATTAATGTTAATCATTGTTTATGCGTCATATAGTTTAATGTGCTATTGTGTACCAATAAATTTATAGTAAATAAATTTGTGATACTTTTCTTTAGTTGGTTTAAGATATTTGTATAAAACTTTATTAATGGACCAAAGATAGCTTTAGGGATAAATTAGATTTCAAATTAATTTCTTGTGTGAAATGACGCGCAATATTTCAATAATAATTGTCATACACATCGACTTGTTTGATAACTGCTGAATAGGGCGATTAGATCTGACCCTGCATAGGTTATCCGAATTATCGGTAGAATATTACGATTCACAAAATTGTAAACTAAATCGGTAATATTAAAGTTCATATATTTAAAGTTGACACTATAAAGATACCGACAATATATCACTTGGAAAATTAATAAATACACTCGTGACTTTATGCTAACGTCATACGACCCCCAGTTTCTTTATTAGAATAACCTACCATAGTCATACAAGATATCCAAACAATCGATTTTGAACAGGTTCCTTCATCAACCTTATTAATTGTTGCGCACTTGCATATGTATTAGGATCATTAGATATTATAGGTTTTACAAAGTACCTAGATTGTTTAAAGCAGAGTTAAAGACAGACAAATAAATGAACATTATATTTATGTTATAAGTGGGAACAGAATTTAAGGAATTTCTTAATTAAATTAGAGCTTTATCTATTTTAATTCTGTTCTCACTTACAACATGCATACATTAAAAAAATTTTCAAGCCTACAAGAAATCATAAATTCGTTCTAAAGCAAGTGTTGTATCTCCGAAATTTTCTATCCCCATCTTAAAGGTCACATTACTCAGTACTTGAATGATGTGCAATATATACTGATCATAAAAAAAGAAAATGAGAAATGAGTTAAATGACTTTTTCAAAAATGAAATGAAATCAAAAAGATTTACAAATGTGCATTCAATTTACACTCGTTAAAACCAATATACGATTTTCCAATAACCTATGTATCACGGGTCCAACTAAAGCACACAGATATAGTATCTGCACATCTGTAGCAATCGTAGCAATCCCATCAATTTCGATATTTAAAAGTCTATGAATAAATATTTGTATATCATCAATATTAGAGTAATGTAGTAAGCAATGCGTAAACGTGAGAAGGCTGTTTGCAACATTTGTGCCAAAGTTATGAATATTAGACGCATATTCGTTGAAAATATAGGGAAACATTGCTGAAAAATCCCGCGTAGAAGGTAAGAATAATTGTTGTAATGGATTTGATTGATATGAAAGGTCTAAATATGGTAATGATGGTTGAGATTGCTCGCGTTGAATCTGTTTTTTAAAATTTTAAATGTAAACATTTCATATCGATGTCTCAACGCAAAGAAATTAAGGTGTAATTACCAAATTAAATGGTTGTGAGAATTCTTTTAAATGGGGATCTGTGGTGATAGTTAACACTATTTTATCAAATATCTGATATAAGAATTCCTCAGTAGGCAAAAAGGAATATAAAAAGCCCATAGCATGCATGACCATAGGCTGGACAGACGTATTCTTGCGTCCATTCATAGAAGTTACAATGTCTAATGATTCTTTCACTATTTCTTCAGGCGATATCGGCGTTGCAAGCACTTCTATACAAGCTATATGTAGGGCTTGTACTACGGGGTTTGGAATCTCTCGAAAGTGACGTTCTGGAAATTTAGCATCAACCTTGGGGGCACATGTATCCGGTGACATTACTATTATGTTAGAGAATGTGGATTAATAATTAATGAACTATTATTTATTATAATAATGAAATAAATAAATCTTACAATCGGCTAATTTGTGAAAAACCTTTTCAAAGTAAGTAATGTCAAAAAGCTCTGCTAAAAATACGTCATTAGATCCGGCTCCATATTGCAATAATTGAGAATCAATATCATATTCATCAAAATCTGTTTTTGATAAAGAAAAAAATTATAGATGAAATTTTATATGTAGTAAACTTTACATTACTACTTAATGATCTTTAAACTTATACAAGTTCATTATATACACAACTAGGAACGGCTACTATTATTCATAGCCCATTTGCTAAATACTGTGATGATTTTTTATTTTTGTGCTTTTAATTGAAGTTGTTCAGAATTAAATTCTGTTTATCCCATCTTATAAGTGGAAAGAACGATACCTTCTCTGGAACTTGGAATTTTAAAATTTGTTAACACCATAGCCGGCGGTTTAGTAGCCGACTATGACGTTACAAAGTTTAAAATTCAAGTTCCAGAGAAGGCATCATTCTTTCCACTTCTGAACAACTTTAATTAAAAGCACAAAAATAAAAAAATCATTACAGTATTTAGCAAATTGGCTATGAATAATCGTAGCCGAACCCATCCATATACACAATCGACTATATATCCATGTTAAGTAATTTGAGTGAATTAAGATCACTCCAAATTTAGACATAAATTTTATCTAATTCAGTTTTCCTGAGCTGAACTGATGTTGAGAACTGAATTTTAATTAGTTTAGTTCTATTTTTGAGTTAACTAAGCAAACTAATTAAAATCCCACCATATAGGAACATCCTAAAAGTGTCTTTATGTTTTGGACTTTCTGTCAGGTAACTGTAAATGCATTACTTACCAAGTAACTTTATTAATCTTGTGGAAATAGATTGGTCTCTCAATACTGGAGCAGAATAATAATAATGCAAAAGATCCCTGACAAAAGCAAGAGGTGTCTGATGATATCTATAAAGGAGCCTATACTTATCCAGTAAATCAGCAAGCATTTTCTGTTGTTCGAATTCAATCAATCTGCCAATTACTATATCAAGTATGGGCAACGATCTTCGAATAGCTGTTGTATAATAAATTGGCATATTTGTTGCCAATGGTGGTTCTAAAACAGTTTTATAATCGTTCATTGCAAATGCCTCATATTGAAAATATTCAGGATATTTTTCAAGATATTTCATCAATTTATCATGATGATCATCTTCAGTCCAATATCGGTGAGAAAATTTCAAAGATATAAAATATCCAACCCTTCCTGAAAACTCTTCAGATTTGAATAATAAATAGTTTAGAATTCCAATCGCGGTTGTATTAATTTCGCAATTCCCTTTGACAAGTGCGAAAATTACATGTTCAAAAGCAAGAATTTGGTATTTCCATATCAATTCATCAAGCATTTTGTAGCACTTTATATGATTTAAATATTAAAAAGTATAATTCAGATTTAAAAAACAAAGAGAAATAAAATATATAAATATATATCTCACCACATCCACAGGTGATAAATCACGTTCTATCATCTCAATGATAAAATCAATCAATGTCATAGTATAAGTCGCCATTCTGGAAGGAGGAAATTGTAATAAAACTTTTCGCAAAGCTTAATAATAAAATTGTATTCCAATTAGTTTATAAATAAACAACAGAAGTAGAATTAACATAAATCATATTTACTGCTCATCATCTCTGGATTTAAAATTTTTCTACCACCACAACCAATTTTCCAAAGAGAACATAAGAAAATTGGTTGATTTTCCAGTTTAGAGTAATGTTCTTGAAGAGTCACCTCATCCTCAGAATTAAGGGACTGATCCATAAACAATTTGAAAAGATTTCCAACCTGCAAAGCAGAATTCATCTACATACGTACGCCAGTAATATAATAAATTTATAGATTTTGGAGAATGTGCTAATTTACATCAAATTTACATTGCACATATATACATACATCCTTATCTGTAAAAGAAATAGAAGACACTGGCATTTCAATTGCCATTTGTTGAGCTGCAAGTTGTGTTCTCAACGGTTCTGGGAAAAAACTTAGTGTTGTATCTGACCATTGAATTGGGTGTGGATAAATTTCTAGTATAACACTCATAATATCTGGGATGTCTTCAACACCTCTAAATAAACTATTATGTAATTATCAATAATATCAAATAAAACAGCACAAATATTACTGAAAATCATGATTGCCTTAGCTTTATCAAACGTGCCATAGTGTATATCATATATCTTGCCAATAATTCGGACTCTGCAAATAAAATTTGCTTTTCTCGATTTGAATCAGACAAAGATTTAATAAACTTGACATCTGTTTGCATCATCTATATGAAAAATATCAACCATCAATCATATTATTTTATCAATTATGTTTGAATGATCGAAATCAGAAATAGAATTATGGACTGAGTCTAGTATAGACGATACCTACACTAAAGCAATTGATGATTAATCAATTTATCAATGGTGTCACCTATACTAGACTTCATTTAACATTATATAACTACCATTATATGCAAGGCAAACAATTCTGCATCACGATATGTTTGCCTATGTTCTAAATAAGAAACAGAATGCTTTATATAATGTAATAAATCTGGCGTCTTTGCAGAATGTTTTAAGAATCTATGGAATCGGTGACAAAAGAGCTGGAGAATTGTATGTTCCCAACGTAAAGCAGTTTCGGTCAGCTGAGTTCCTCCTTCAGCACGTACTTTAGAAGCCTTATCAAAACGTTTCAGTTTGTCAAGAATCTCCTTAACTAAAGTTTCTAAACTAAAATAATATCGGATTGTGAGAAACGAGTGAATATGGTCATTTAACCATATACTGCTGTTACTTACGACCAAGGTGCACTATAAACCGTTTTATAGAGTACGTCTAAAACATAAGGCGAAACACACGTTATTTTATGTTCAGTCACATCTATTGGAAATTTGGGGGCAACATCTCCATCAAGCATCATCTTATATATAAACTCTACAAGCCTATTATTGAATTTCATAAAGAATAATATAAATTATTAATAAGTAAAAATGAACTAATCATAAAAAAATATTAATTAAATACCTAAGCTTGCTAGTGACATTAATTAAATCAAGTAGCTTATATTCAATTATGCCGCCCTTCAGAAATTTTGCATCTGCAAATCCAAGTTGTCCTGCTTCAAGTCTGCCAAATCCAAGTTGTCCTGCTTCAAGTCTACCAGGGACTAAATAGGCGTATAAAGTATCGGCTACAGCACTTTTATTCATTTGACTGGCAATGGAAAGCTTTATAATTTCCTGGATGGTTAAATTTCTAAATATGTCATGGTTCACCACATTTGCTAGAACAAAAGATAATGACTAAATTTTCATGAACGATATATTCAATGTATTAAATTCAAATGATTTATATATAAACCTTTATAATTTTCAAAATCTTTATTAATGCTATGTGGCATGTATGATAGTGCGGCTGTAAGTTGAGGATACCTATGTTTGATATTAGGTACATCACGTATAGCAGCTTTTTGAGAAGTCACCTAAAATAATCAATTATAATAATTGCTATAAAATTCAAATTACTGTATAAATTGCGAATAAGAACATTAAAATAAATCGAATCATCGACAGTACGATTCATCGACATTCAATTCATCGACAAGTTCATTTCACCGACAGTACGATTCACCGACAAAAGTAATTCTGGTTATTGTCGTGTAATTTATAAAAAAGCTTGTCGGTGAAACGTACTGCCAGTGAATTGTACGGTCGGTGAAATAAACTTGTCGGTGAATTGATTTTCGGTGAAATGAACTGGATCCGTAATAATTACCACACATTGCAAGGCTAGATCTCGTAAATAAAATGAATCTTTGGATCTAATCTGCTGCTCATTGTATAATTGTATAAGCATATTGAGCAACCTTTCGTCAAACTTCAACTCGCCAGAAATAGTGGTTCCAATTTTATCCAAGTCTAATTAATAAATGTTATCAAGGGAAATATAGGCAGCAAAGTTTTTGAAAACGTACAATTATACATATTTGGAGGATACAGAAAAGTGGGATTAATAACCAGATCAAAGTATTATCTTTCGGAACTGTGTTATGACGTTCACCATGTTTAGGATGAACCATGTAATAAAAATTTGAAAGAACTTCTTCATATTTTAGGTGGCTATTTCAATTGATCAAATTCAAATGTTAATAACAAATTAGATAATAGCTAATTGATAGAAAACATACTCTGCTGCAACTAAACCAACTAATTGATCTCCAAGTTCAATGATAAGTTCCCAAAATCCAAGATTTTCAGGAATAAGCATGTCTTCATTTGAATGTTGATCTATTGCAATAATACAGATTAAACCATAGAATACGATATAATGGAACAAATAAATATGTTAGATATACCTATTCTGGGCTGTTCAAAGTTTGATTGAGATTGTATTGACTTAATAACATTATGCACTTTATCAAAAAATGCTGTACGCATATGTTCCATTCCCTGAGGATTTTGTTTTACAGATTTAATCATAGTCTTGAATTCTTCAAAAGATGCACGTTGAAATAACAGGTCGCGAAAGCGTGAAGAACATTTTGTAACATGTCCTTCGTCTATAAATTGCTCCTAATAAATAAAAAGTATAATATAATAATATAGTAATCAAGGGATGACTGTTGTTTATGGCTAGAAATGATCATACATAATCACAAGAAAATATTTGATAAATAGGCAGATGGGTTATATCAATATATTCATGAGATCGACTAACGAAGGCAAAACCTTTATATTAATGACATAAAATATATAATTTAATCCAAATAATATTAATATAATCATAAAACCTGTATTGAGAAATTAATGGCCATGATGCGTCTGCAAAGAGTTTATTAATCATTAAGAATAATATTGAAGTTTTATTAATTTTTAAGAATAGTGAATATTTCGCTAAACTATTATGACATTACAATTACCAGGTGGCATCATTAAAAATGCAAGACGTTTTCGACGTTGACATAATTCATTCACAAATTGCTCCATGGACCAATGAACAGAAATAAACCGTCCAAGAACAGGCATTCCGTATACTGCTTGCAGCTATAACGGATAATATAAACCGAATTTTAAACATCCATCATAAGATATACAATAATTATTTTACTCTTACCTGTCCAATGACCTGATAATGTGAGACACAACCAGTACCTCCACAATCTTTACCAATCAAGAAAGTTTCAATTATCTGGCGCCCTTTTTCAACACATTTATACTTTTGTTTATCGAGATCTATTGGAAGGCGTTCAATTTGTTGTAAGATAATTTTGATAATATCAGTGGCTAGATCTGGTGGAATGTCCATCATGGCTCTAGGATTTTGTTGTAAAATAGTGCGCATAAATGAAAGTACACCCATCCATAATTCAGGAGATGAAATATCAATAAGAACTTCAATATCTTTAAAAATCTGTGGAATTGTGATGTGCATAACAGGTTGAAGGGTGGAAGATTGTTGTGAGATATCGCCACCAAGGGCCAATAATAGCCCAAATGTCGTTGGTGTATCAGTTATTAGACCATTAAATATTGATAAAATAAGAGTTATTCGCTCCCAAGTCGGAGATATAGTGAGCAATGATATGATATAATTTACAAGTTCCCCCTGAATAAATTTGAATAGGCGATATAAATATTTGCTTTATTACTAATAAAATTCTCCGACTTACGATTCTAAGATAAATACCGTATTTCCGACTGCCAGCGAAGCTTTAAAAAATTCTTGAACAAGTTTAGTTATTTCATCTGAAGTATCTAGTACTAACTCAAAATCGTCTTTTTTTTCAATAATTTTATCATTTTTAAATCGCTTGGCTGGAGAATCAAAAATTCTAATTTTATATTATACAAAAGTGAAATATCAACATTCAAAGTGATCTTGAATTTTTTGATTCCCTCAATTAATAGCAAAGAAAAATAATTATTATAATAATAACAATAAGTACCCGGAAAATACTACTTCTGAAGAATTAGATTGAAATAAGTCCTTTATATTACACAATATTTCCAACAAAAGTATATGAATTTCAAAAGTTCAAAAATATAGATCGTGTCATAAGAACAAAACAATCTCTGTAAAAAATACCTGCCCGGATTTTTCACGAGATTGTAAAGCATTTAGGAGTGAAACTTTAAACTCTGCTGCGAGATCTATGTTTATACTCATTATAGAAAAGAAGTGAAATGCTAAAAGCAGAATAAATGATTTTTTTTGGTATAAAAAAAATTACAACATACACTGCACCCTGTAATTGACCAATAATATTATCGGGACAAAAAGAGTTACGTAGTAAAAACTTTAATGTGGTTCGAGATTTATTTAAAGCATAAAATACATGAAATATCGAGATCCTTAACAGTACTAAAACCAATACTAAAACAACATGGTAAGTAAAAGAAAAAATATATATCATTTTCGCTTTCCCTATAATTTCCAATTGTTTCGTTGATAAAACTTTTACCCATTTGACAAACAGCCTCCAAAAAAAAACAAACGTGATAGTACCGCCAAGGGCGGTACTGCTAAGGGTAGTAACAAGAGTTCAGAAAAGAAATTTGAAAAAGCAGATTGGAAAGAGAAATTTAGTAAAAAACAAGTTGGAGTCTCTGACATGACTATGTTGAGCAAAGTTAATAATGATGCGATTAACGAAAATTTGAAGAAAAGATTCGAAAATCATGAGATTTATGTATGTTATGTACTTGCTTTTGATAATTGATCTGTTCGTATTCTTTTAACTAGATCATTTTTTAACCTTAATTTATTTTATTTTAATTAGACATATATTGGACATGTGCTAATTAGTGTTAACCCATTCAAAGACTTGGGTATTTATACAGATCAAATATTGAAAAGTTATAATGGAAAAAACTTGCTCGAAGTATTTGAAATTTTCTTAAATCTACAATCTCTATCATTCATCATTTAATAGAAAATTACTGTCGATTTTCCATAGATGCCGCCTCATGTGTATGCAATTGCTGAATCGACTTATTACAACATGAATAGTTATAAAGAAAATCAGTGTATAATTATCAGGTATTTTTTACTTAGAGAATCTTAAATATTTCTTGTAATTTGGGGGTTTTTTTTGTTTAAATTTCTGTAATTTCTGTTAATAGTGGTGAATCTGGTGCCGGAAAAACTGGTGTGTACCCAATATTTATAGTATCTATGCTGTTAATTTATTTTCGCAAATAATCATAATTTCGACATCTACATAGAGGCTGCCAAAAGAGTATGAGTATTTTCTAATATTTTCATTTTGATCAAAACACTTCAAAAATATACTCGTTTAATTGCGTATTCAAATTTGTATTAGATTATGCAATACATTGCAACTGTAAGTGGTGGAGCATCATCTCAAATTAAGGAGATTAAAGATATGGTTTTGGCCACAAATCCTTTGTTGGAAAGTTTTGGATGTGCTAAAACTCTTCGTAATAATAATTCAAGTCGACATGTTTGTATATAATTTATTCATTTACGAGGATAGTTTTTAGCACAAAAAAAGTGTATAAATTTAAATTGCATTTTCAGGGGAAATATTTGGAAATTCAATTTAATTCTCAAGGAGAACCTGTTGGCGCAGTTATTACCAATTATTTATTAGAAAAGGTAACTTTTATAGCTTATTATTTACATTTATTTTTGATAAATATACGATGGCTAAAAAATAACACATTTGAATATCGTGTTTATTATAGGGTCGCGTTGTTGGGCAAATTGACAATGAGCGCAATTTTCATATTTTTTATCAATTCACCAAGGCAGCTTCTCCTGAGTACAAAGGTTTGTTTTGATCAAATAAAAATTAAATATAAGAATATTATTATTTATGTCATTATAATACTTGTTAAATTACAGAACAATTCGGAATAGAAGGTCCTGAAAGTTATTTGTATACTTGCAAAAGTGGATGCCTAGATGTTGATGGCATTGATGATTCTAGTGATTATTCGGAAACTTTGGTGAGTATATCATACTTTAATAACCGATTAAGAATCATCGTAATGATCATATCTTGATTATTTTTCATCGTACGGCAATCCAGGAAGCGATGAATATTATTGGTCTGAAACAAGGTGAACAAGATGATATCTTTAGAATGCTGGCAATTATTTTATGGCTGGGAAATGTACAATTTGAGGAAGGAAAGGATGGAAATGCCGCTATTAGCGATGAAGATGTTACAAATTTTATCGCGTACATCATGGAGGTTGATGGTGACATTCTTATTAAAGTATATACTTTGTATTTTTAATATAATTACATCAGAATGATATTGATTATTGATTTTAGACCAAATATTTATTATTTTTATTCTATTTATATTTAATAGGCATTGACTTGTCGTACCATTGAAGCATCTCGTGGCGGACGTCGAGGCTCAGTATACGATGTTCCTTTGAATACAGTACAGGTTTGTAAATAGGCACGAATTCTTGTGTAACTTTTTTATATCTGTTAATATCTTAACAAGTAGATTTATTTTTCTTTTCAAGGCATCAGCTATACGTGACGCCCTTGCAAAAGCAATATACAATAATTTATTCGAGTGGATTGTAGAGCGGGTCAATTCTGCCTTAAGATCCCGTACTGCAGCATCTTATGTTATAGGAGTATTAGATATTTATGGTTTTGAAATCTTTGAAGAAAACAGCTTTGAACAATTATGCATTAATTATGTCAATGAAAAGCTTCAGCAGATTTTTATTGAACTTACTTTAAAGACTGAACAAGAAGAGTATGTTAAAGAAAAAATTAAGTGGACTCCTATTGAATTTTTTGATAATAAAATTGTATGTGATTTAATTGAAGGGAAACGTCCACCTGGTATATTCGCAGCATTGAATGACGCTTGTGCTACAGCACATGCTGATTCTGAGGCTGCTGACAATTCATTTGTTCAAAGATTGGGTTTCCTGAGTTCAAATCCACATTTCGAGTCTAGAGGCAGCAAGTTCTTGGTGAAACATTATGCCGGGGATGTTTTATATACAATATCAGGTATGACTGATAAAAACAAAGATCAACTAGTAAAAGATTTGTTGGAATTAATCGAAAGTAGTGGAAATAAATTTGTGGGACGACTGTTTCCAAATAAAGTTGATCGTGACAGTAAAAAGAGACCTCCTACTATTGGGGACAAAATTAAGGTTATTTTAATATACTACAATTTGAAACATCTATTGATACTGATACTATTGTTACTGTGATATTCATATGTGATCTTTCGTTATAGTCATCAGCAAATGCTCTAGTTAGTAATTTAATGCAAGCTCGTCCATCGTATATTCGAACTATAAAACCAAATCAAAATAAAAGTCCATCAGAATATGATCAAAAAATGGTACTACACCAAATAAAATACCTTGGGCTTAACGAAAATATTCGAGTAAGAAGAGCAGGGTTTGCTTATCGGCAAACCTTTGAAAAGTTTTTGGAAAGGTAATGGATTTAATTTCATTATTCCTAGTTTAAGAGTTTGTAAGTGTATTATATACTGATTCTAATGAATAAAGGTAAATAATTGCTTGATAATAGGTTCTATTTATTATCGAAAAAAACATCATATGCTGGTGAATATATTTGGCAAGGTATCTCGAAAGCTGGTGCTGAACGAGTTTTAAAAGATTGTGGGATCGCTACTGAAGAATGGCAAATGGGTGTCACCAAAGTTTTTATTAGACATCCTGAAACGGTATGATTCTGTAAATTTACAAGTCTTTGATGTTAATTATAAAATCGAGTATAATAACCAATTATTTGTAGATTTGGGCACTTGAACACCTTAGAGATCGATTTTGGCATAACATGGCGTTAAGAATTCAACGTGCTTATCGTAACTATGTTCGTTATAAAAATGAATGTGCCACACGTATACAACGATGCTGGAAAAAGAATAAGGATCAAATCATATATGTTCAGCTACGTGATCGTGGACATCAAATATTAGATGAAAGGAAGGAACGACGAAGGTTTAGTCTGTTAAGTATGAGAAAATTTATGGGAGATTATTTATTTATTAATGTACCTGGGGGCAGTGGTGAAGCATTGAGGAATGCCTGTGACATTGGAGGTATGTTTAATTGGCGTTATTGTGATTTACCCGCAATCATTATTGAACTTGTTATTTTTTTTTATCTTAGATAATGAAACTGTGACTTTCAGTAGTAAAATTCAACTTCTTGTTGCCCGTTTCGGGAGAGCTAGCAAACCAAGTCCAAGAATGTTAATTATGGTATTTATTCATAAGTCGGTTATATTATTTTTAGGAGAATTTCGAAATATTTGATATATTATTATTTTTATTAGACCAACAAAGCTCTATATATTGTTATTTCAACACTTGAAAAGAAGTTACTGACAATGAGCGTTGAAAGAAAAATTTCTCTCGTTATGATTAAAGGTGCTAGTTTATCGCATTTACGAGATGATTGGGTGGTATTACATATTGATAATCCAACCAAAGAATTAGGAGATTTAATATTTTCATGCCTTTTCAAGACTGAATTTGTAACGCACTTGACAGAACTTAAAGGGAACCGATTTGATGTTAAAATTTCAGAATCAATTGAATACACCAAGAAAGTTAGCAAAACAGCTACTATGAAATTCATTAAAGACGAAAATGTTAAAGATGATGTTTATAAAAGTCATACAGTCACAGTATGTTCTGGAGAACCACCAAATAGTTTATCAGATCCACCTTGTCCAAGAAAAGAATCATCTTCATCTAGTTCAAAAAAACCGCAAAAAGCTGGTAAAGCTACGAAACCTAAAGTAACCAAAACGCCAGCTTCGATTAACGCCAAGAAAAAACCACAAACAGCAAATGCAAATAAACCAACAGCACCCGTATCCACAACAAATTCAACAGTTCGATCATCAGGAAAAAAACCAGCACCACCACCTCCTCCTCCGGTTGCAAAATCAAAACAAATGTATAAAGCAATTTACGATTTTGCGACTGATGATTCTGGAGAATTACCATTTAACAAAGGAGATGCACTAGAAATTATAGAAAAAGACGATAATGGATGGTGGTTGGCAAAAATGAATGATGATCAAGGTTGGGTACCAAGTAATTATCTAGAAGAAATCAAAACCGCGCCGGTACCTACAAGACGGAATAAACCACCACCACCTGCAATACCTACCAAGGCAACAAGCTGAGAAAGCATCAACATATGAATAATTAGGTCAATTTTACATTAGAATTCTGAAGTCAAATGTATTTTAAATTATAGTTAATTTATTAAAAATAATATAGATTTTATTGAATTGAGTTTTTAATTTTTAACTATCGTATATGATATGGGTGGATGGGTGTGATTGGGATTATAAACTAATGGAATTTGGACTAAGTTCCAATTGAAAAAAATCGCCCAATAAAATTTAACTTTTATGCACGTGATTTTATCCGATAAAAATTGATCAATAAAATTTACCTTTTGCGTATTAACAAAAAATTCCTTGCAAAATTTTGGTATAATGCTAGGGTGGTAAATGGACTAAGTAATCAAAACTATGTTAGCAAACTATAGAATTTTACATATGGCAAATTTGTTATGTTACGCTAAGATTAAATATAACGATAGCGCAATATTTAAGATTGTGCTAACTGTATAAATTTATTGTCATGGTTAATACTAATATCGAGATTTAAGGTCTATATTTAAATTTACCAAACCTACCAAATTCCAAATGTATTTTATTAATAGTTCTAATCCTAAACTTTAACCTATGTATAAAAAAAAAATCAAATTCACACCAAAGAATCTTAAAATTTTAGGTTAAAATGGGTTCAATTTTCAGAATCAACTAATCTCAAACATCAATCGCGACATTTATTATTTAATAAAATTACTCTTTTTTCAATAATTTTGGCTTTAAAACTTTCTGATCAAATTTTTATTTTTACTAGGTTCTATGTATTAGAAATAATCTAGTCGCCGGCGGCGACAGTCACCGGATCTATGGAATCAAAACACACACTAAAGTTAATTATCATTAGAGTCAGTGTTGGAGTTAAATTAGGATTAGATTAGGGCTTAATTTATAATAAAATTTCGTAAAGAATTTTTTTAATTAGAACACAGAAGGTGCTTCCATAGACAAATTTGTGAAAATTTTCAATATTGTCTTCGTTTTCGGGTTACACGAACATTACACCTGATCCCGTGATGTGATTGGCCAATTGCAACCCGGTGACTGTCATCGTCGGCGGCAAATAGATTCACCCTAATAAAATATACATAATGTTAAATTTTTAAAAAAATTTTTTTATATATTAAACTAGCTTCCTTTGGGGTTGGGTCTTTTTATTCAGTAATTAGGATATAGGGACTCACAGCCTAGGTTTCAAAGAAGTCATCTTTATATTAGAAAGTACAAGTCACATATACATTTTTGGTGTTTAATTTTTTTTTTTTTTTTTTTTTTTTTTTTTTTTTTTACCTCTCTTTGCTATCCTGAAGGTCCTTAGACACCTTTAGGATCTGTCACATCTCTTAAAGGTCAGAGTTATCATTCTGCGAAGATCATTGGATGGTGTGTGGCCCCTGCATGTTACCGAACTCGTGAGATAACTCATGCTTCATTAAGTCTGTCATATGACGTCCCGGGTCTCTGGCCCTGTGATGTAAGACCTACTATCCTTTTCGGTCCGCAGTTCCCTAACTTCACATGACCCACTAGTCAGATCATCCATATATTTCAAAGTCCTTAATTCTACCGTTATGTATTCTTAAATCAGGCTCTCTTAATGTTAGCGTCATTTGTTGATGGATTATGCCTTATCTAGTTGTCCCCGACCCTGTGGCTATGTCAGTGACTGCATTCTTTTTGTATGAATCTTGTTCTTGCTTTTAAATGGAAGTCCTCTGCAGATCTTTTTTCCAATCATGGTTCTGGCAGAGTTGTTGTCATCCTTTGAACTTGAACTCGTGACCTTGCGATTGAGACCCAAAAGTGCTAACCACTGTGCTATCAACCCACAGGTCATATTTAATTTAAGTAATCTGTTGATAGTTCTACACTAACTATCATACCTGCAACCCAACTAGAAGCATTGCTTATTTAAACCTTCTGTATTGCAATCTTTACTATATCATTAGATTATCTCCAATATACATGTTAGTCAAGAAGGTTTAGATGCTTATCTGTATCTTTAGAATCTCATATCTTATTTTATGTAATGTATTTTCAAAAGCATTATTATTAGAGTTTTTCATATCCTATACACAGCTAACTTAGTTTTATGTAACATACTATAGTTATCTAATACTTACAGTTAGAATTAACCTTAAACTACTATATTATACTATTTTTAATCTTATAAAGTTTATCTAAATTCTGAGATCTAGAGATTGGAATTGGTTTAGTTGACTAAAAATTTTATATAATAAATTATTATGTTTAGTCAACTAATTAGTTGACTAAACATAGTAGTTGATTAAATTAATTCTAATCTCTATTGATATCTATTATTTTAATATCTTCTCTATTATCCTTTACTAATTGCAATTCAGAACTATCAGACTTCTAATTCTGATAGTCAAGTATAGTATACTTTAGTATTCTTTTTTTTTAACAATTTTGGTAATCTAGTTAGTCATATATTTTTCTATACATTTTTGATATCTAATTTATCTATTTATTTCTATAAAGGTGTTTATAAACTTTTATCAGTTTAATAATATCATTGAAAGTTTGTATTACTTTTTTATTTAGGAATTTCTAAGTAGAATTCTGTTGTCTCAGTTTTTTAGTTTTTTGTATTCAGTAGTCTTATTATAGGTTTGCACTAAAGTCTTATACAACATTAGTTATTAATATTTTTCTATATATATAGTTACAAAGTAGATTTTAGCATAGTATATTATATAGTAGTATTAGTAGTTATATATATATTTATTATTGTATTTTATATTTTATATTTATTATTAGTTATTAGTTATTAGTTAGTTGATAGTTATATTATATAGTAAATAAATAAAAAGGATCTTAATTGGCTTTTAGAAATGTAGTACAACTACATAACACTAAGTAACATCTGTGATATTACTATTATTTTACAAATTCCAAGTAATCTTATATAAGTTTCATGTATTCTAGCACCAAATTACTGTGCCAAGTATTGCAGCACAAGAATTTCAAATATCCCTGACACAAATTTCAAGTGTTTCTGCACAAATTTCAAGTATCTTTGCTCAAATTTCAAGTGTCTTTACACAGATCCAAGTATCTAAATACAAGTCCCAAGTGTTTTAAACACAAATGACAAATAATATAAACAATATTCTAAGTTGTCTTTGCATAATCTTTACTATTTCAAGTACAGTATTATTTAATGTTATTCAAACCAGTGTTTAAAATTTAAAAAAAAATTACATGCACAAATGCATTTTGTGTCTCTTTTTTAAAAAATTTTACATATACATTTAATAAATTTTTAAACAAATCTAAAAAATCTAAAAAAATTTATGTATATGTGTATCTTGTATATATCAATTTTAAACACTAGTTCGAATCCTATTACTCTGAGTACAGTATCAAATAATGTTACTTGAATCTTCACTATTCTCACGAAATAAAAAGATATATAAAAGGTATCTTTTACTCTTCTCTGCCAATTCTAAGTTTCTATATTTTAACCTAGACTTTTCTATTTTTATCTTCAACTTGTAAAAGTAATATTCTCTTTTTAAAATAATTCCTACAAGCAAGGTTGTTATTATGTATTTATTTAATAAAGTTAATCTATATATTGTTACTATCTCAAGCCATTTGTCTGCTGCTGTATAGTAAAGTAAACTACTATATCTCTACTCTATATATATTTGCAATAATCAATTACTGTACTAAGTAACCTTGTTATTTGGTTGTATTGTAACAAAAAGACTACAACTCTGTAATAATATGTAATATTACATTTTATATAGATGTCTAAAGCTCTTAATAATAAATAGAACCCAACTTGATATATTTAGATTATAACTACATGTGGTCAACCAATTGATATGAGATAGTTTTCATAATACAGTTTAATTTTCAAATTTTATTGTATATAGAATTTGTACCTTAGACCTATTATTTAAAAGATAACAATCCAACTATTACATTAGAATTATCATCTTTCAATTTTTAAAAAATTTTAAAATATCTTAAATTATAAATTTTTATTAAACAAAAAATTAAAATTTTAAATTTAGAATAAATTATTACATATTGCATTTTTTTTTTAAAGAAAGATCTATTATTTATTTCTTTTATTAATTAATACCTTTATATATATATAATACATAATAGAAAAACTAAAACTATAAAAATTAAAAATAAAAGCTACTTTATTCTCAACTTATTCTTTGTTAGAATGATTAATAAATTTTAAATCTTTAATAAAAGAATGTAAAAAAGATTAATTATAAATAATATAATAATATATTTTTTTATTTAATAAAAATAATATAATTAGTTGAGTTTTAACTAATATTAAAAATAGAATTAATAAAACAAAATTATGTTATATTGTTTTAATAATAAGTTAAAGTTTTTTTTGATATTAAGATGAAGTCTTACTTCTATCTTTATTTGTAGTTATTAAGTAATAATTATATAAAGTTACTAGATACAAAAAAAAGTTCTAAATATATTATAGCTAAGACCAACACTTGTAGTTAGAATTAATCATTAAATTGTTAACTATAAAACTATAACTTTAAATAATAATAAAAAAAACTCTTTTCTGTACATTATAAAAAAAAAATAATAAAATAAAAAACTGATAAGATAAAAACTGATACTAATACTAAATAATTATAAAAAAGCTTTGAACAAATATGCACTTATATACAACAAGAAGACAAATAGAAATAACACAAGTTAAATAATACAAAATAAAGAAAAAAAAGGCAACAAACCAGAATGATAGCATAAAGGAAAGCTTTTCCAACTTACAAAAAAAGTTTTCTTGCATAACTTTTTCAAGAAAGTCCTAATAAATACAACTATACATAAATGACAGCAGTTAGAAAAACTATATCAAAGGTACAAACAACTAAACTTCTTACAAGCAACAATAAAAGAAGATGCACTGCTGCCCTTATTGCTCTTGTTGATACAAAAAGTAGGCAACCTAGCTTATTCCTGAAAAATTCCAAAATGACATTATT